CACTAGCCTCTCAATGAGAAGGCCCATTGGGGAATCTTTAGCAGCGTGAATGAGCCACTATAGTATTTGTAATGCTGGGAGGTAGTTAGAGCCTTTCACTTCCTACAGAGGGATCCGTGCGGGAGGGAGGAGGCACAGGCAGCATGGGAGGAGAGAGCAAGAAGAGCTACTCCAGCCAAACACTCCTATCAGACTCAGCCAGCAGCATGACCCCATGGAAGCAGTGGTGTATCTTGGATTTGTGCTGTACTAGGCACAACTAAATTCAGGCACTACCCCAATCTAAATTTGCCCCACCCCTTTGTGTCAAGGCCACTTTTTTGACTGACAGACACACACACACAGTGTACCTTCACCAAACAAGTAAGGAATTGGATTTACGTTTATTGTGCCACCTGCTAGCACATGTCCTTTACCTGACATTAAGCTTACATAACAGGAACCAACCGATACGAGGATGAGCAACACGCCACCACCAACCCAGGACTTCCAGTCCAAGATTAACGCTGCAGTGGCAGCGTCAGTGGTGAAAGCCCAATCAAAAATGCTCACCCAACCTCCTCCAGTGGTATCCATTCTTAACGTGGGCATGTCCCCGCCACAGGATGAGGAAACAGGGGGCTCAGAGAGGCCCACCAGGGAACCATCTCTCTTACCGAAATGCCACAGAACGGGCGCATTGACCTCGGTCAGGTCAAAAGGACAGGAAATGGTCAAATGGACCAAACGGACGGTGGGACCTGAACCGCAACCCCCGATGCTCTCTTCCGGGGAAGAAGTTGAATACCCGAATACACTGGATATATTTGACGAATAGCAAGTGGACGATTCTGCATCGGAAGGGGACGAGTGGCAGGACCTACCCCCACACGACTCCACATATGTGAAGGAGTCTTATGCAGGTGAACCCTCACCATGGGGGAATTTACATGACTTCTCCTCACGAGAGATGGATGGTCTGTTCCTGGACACCCACAGCTGTCCTTTGTTCGACCCTCGGACCATTAGGCACCCAAAATCATCGGAATGGGGCCTCTCAAGTCACCTGGCACAACTCCTCCATATGCAAGCGCAGACTCCTCTACGGGGGTCCCATGGCTACACGAAGAATCGGAGACACACATCAACTTCTTGGAACTGATGTCGGGCTCCTTTGCCATCTGGAGCTTGGCCAAGCACATGTTTAATTGTTGTATTCCACTGCGCATGGACAATGTGTCAGTGGTACAGTATATCAATCGCCTGGGATCCAGGACACTCTCGGAGACGACCAAAGACATTTACACCTTTTGCCTCTCCAGAAACATTACACTCAGAGCAGAATACCTGCCAAGGACGTCGTATGTCACGGCGGACTGGTACTCCCGCCACTGGAAGGATCTTGGGACATTGATGGATTATCACAGATAACTAAGGATCTACTATGGCAGTGTTTCCCAACCCAGTCCTCAAGGCACACCTACCAGTCCAGGATTTAGGGATTACCCAGTTGTGTCTAAGGTGTTTTTACAAAGAAGAAAAAAAACACCTTAGACACAACTGGGTAATCCCTAAATCCTGGACTGGTAGGTGTGCCTTGAGGACTGGGTTGGGAAACACTGTACTATGGGACTTGTGGGCCCCAGGCACTCTACGGTGTTAAAGATAAAAACAGTAAAAGGCTGCGCACATTAGATATTAGAATAAGAGGAACACATACCAACTACCCTCGTACAAACAAAGGAAATTCCCTCACGATAACTACAATCCTATACCTCAATCACCCAGATATCATAATTCCTCTGGTTTTAATTTTTCACCAAAACCACAAAGATCCAGATATACAAATGATCACAATGAGTATTCCAATTACTCAAAATCACCCACAATCCCAAATCATACCAACAGATATCAATTATTATCAGTCGATTCTGACTTTGATAATGAGGACCATTTTTTAGAGATACGTACTCACCAACCTGCACTAGCTCAGACACCTTACCCATCACGCTCTCAAAAAAGAACTTTAAATCTAGAGGAAGACGAAGTGGAAGAAGGGAACAAAAGAGAAAGATTGGAAAGAAAATAACACCTTTTACTGATTCCTGCAATGGCATTTTTAACCTTTCCCAAAAAGTTTTATCAGCCGCACAACTATCCGTTTTAAGTAAGGGTCTTAAATTCGCTCCTACCTCCTCTTTTAATTCATTTCAAGCTTTTCTTGATGTAAATAAATTTGTTAGAAAGGCTACACTGAAAAGATTTTTTATAAGTAAAAATGATGAGGATCCTCCCCTCTCTACTTTATCCCCTCCCTCAGAGACAGCAAATAGTCCTTTTTTAAATACACATCTGAGAGAAAAATCAAAATTTTACCCATCCCATTTTAAATCAGCTCCTTTGATTTTATTTGAGAAACTTGTTCTTAAAGATCTAGAAAAAATCAAATATAAAAAATATGACCCCAACAATCTCACAAGTAGTGAAAGACAGGCAATCAAAGAACTGCAAAAAGACTGTGACATTGTCATTAAACCAGCTGATAAGGGTGGAGGAGTAGTCATTCAATCAAGTAAAATGTATGTAGATGAAGCCCATAGACAATTAAAAGATGGCAATGTATACGAACAACTTTTAAATGATCCGATTAAAAATATCCAAACCATTTTATCCAATTTTTTAAATAAGGGTCTAGAACAAAAAAATTTAAACAAACATGAATACAATTTTTTAAACAAAAAATATCCAATTACCCCGGTTATCTATTTTCTTCCTAAAATCCATAAAAATGAACAACACCCTCCAGGAAGACCTATTGTCTCGGGGATTGGTTCCCTTTTAAGTAATCTCTCTCAATATATAGATACCCTTCTCCAACCTTCGGTCAAACTCATGAAATCTTATTTAAAAGACTCCATGTCACTTTTAAATTTTTTAAATGATTTTACTTGGAAAAATAATTTTATACTAGTTACATGTGATGTCCAGTCCCTTTACACCATCATCCCTCACGATATTGGTTGTCTAGCTATAAAAGAAATTTTAACTCAAGAAGCTAGGATTCCTAACACTCAAATAGATTTTATAATAGAAGGTATCAATATTATTTTAAAGAACAATTATTTTTGGTTTTTAGACTCTTTTTACTTACAAAGAAGAGGTACAGCTATGGGGACTAGGTTTGCCCCTAGTTACGCTAAATTGTTCATGGCAGATTGGGAAAATGAAGCCATATGGGGCAATCATACCTGGCGGGCAAACCTAGTCTCCTACTTCAGATATATAGATGACCTTTTTTTTATCTGGGATGGACCTGAAAAACATCTCATTGATTTTATCAATTATTTAAACACTAACAATAGGGGCATCATCCTCACATACGAATTTAGTAAACAATCCATCAACTTCTTAGACCTAAATATTTTTATCAACAATGGAAAACTTCAGACAAAAACCTATTTTAAAAAAGTGTGTGTTAACACGGCCATTGACAGGTCTAGCTGTCATTATAAGCCATGGCTAGAAAGTGCCCCAAAAAGTCAGTTTTTACGCCTTCGCAGAAATTGCTCAGAACTCACAGATTTTAATGAACAAGCAGAGTTTTTAAAAAATAAATTTATTGAAAAAAATTACTCAGAACCAGATTTGAATATCACTATTAATACAGTCAAACAAAAAGAAAGAAAGGATCTTCTGATATATAAAAATAAAGAAAACAATCAAACTATATCACTTCCAGTTATTTTTGATTTTAATAATAAAAGTAACGATGTCAAAAAAATAATAAGAAAACATTGGCACATACTTAAACATGATGAGATACTCAATTCCATCATACCCACTCATCCAAACATTGTTTTTAGAGGAGCAACTAATTTGAAATCGATTTTAACTAAAAATTTTACAAAAAAATCTCGTTTAAAAAGTGTATCATTTTTTCCTAACACAAAAGGTTTTTTTAGATGCAAACAATGCATTGTATGCAAAACTGTGGATCATGTTAATTCATCAAAAATTACAAAATTTATGTCAAATCAAACAAAAAAAGTGTATGATATTTATGATTTTATAAGCTGCCATACAAAAAATGTGATTTATCTGCTCGAGTGCCCATGTGGCCTCCAATATGTGGGGATGACCACAAGGTGCCTAAAGATAAGACTGAGCGAACATTGCAGAAATATTAAAAATGGATACCTAAATCATACAGTATCCAAACATTTTATTATGCACAATAAGGACCCTCGTTTACTAAAGTGCATTGGTATAAAAAAATGCTCTACCTCTTGGCGAGGAGGTGATATAAAAAAGCTACTTGGTAAAACAGAGATGGAATGGGTG